ATGTAACATGTAGACTTGGTCAAGCCTACATGGACTTGGAGGGTTAGAATCTCCTTATATTCTGACTCCTGTATTATTCTAACTCATTTTTATGTAAGGATGATTCTTACAAATTTGCTTTATGGTATGCATCAGTCCTGGAGGGTTTAAGCAGCTGCAAATGATCATTAAAGATATCCAGAGAATGCTAAGTCCTTTGAAACATGTAATACAGAAGGAGGAAAATTATGCTATTGATAATACTAACGATAAAACTGAAAGTCTGTCTATAACAGGTGACTAAAAGTTAGCCCAAGTAACTACGTAAAAGGGTGCAGGGTGATAAAGGAAAATCGAGTGTTGTATTTTTCTACTAATATGTGAGATTCAAGAAATCTGAGAAAAATAGGGGTCTGTGTTGTGTTAAGTGATGCAATCGTATGAAGCAAACTCTTTTCTAGTCACATTAAGTAAATCAATATTTGACATCCATGTATTAAATATGATTTATCATCTTTTAGTCAAGAACATTTTGAAAACCTAGAATATTTTTTCTCTTGTCATTCACATCTCGTTCAAAGGACATGAAATTCAAGGAATCAACACTTTATTCCTAAGCATCCTCCCAACCAAGAATGCTGCAACTTCAGCCAAAAGGCACATTCTTCACAATCTCCTCCCCTCATAACTGTAAAATAGGTCCTACATTGCTGAGCTGAATTTGGAAACTCTGGGACTAGCGAACCTCCATGGAATTTTGTATCCTACTGGATACTGGCTCTGACAGGAATTAGTAAAACATTGTCTGGGCAAGGCTGCATGATAAACATTTTGGGTCCTGCAGAGCAATTCAACTGCACCTTGCATCTTGAGAGAAGTCACTGGAAATATATAAAGAAACAGATGGGGTTGCTGTGTTCTAATAAAACTTTAATTACAACAGAATAGGTCATGGCTGGAATTGGTCTGCTGATCTTTGGCATAAATGCTTTGATAAAATCCATACAATAAACATTTTTATCTTTCAAACCATACAAGTCTAAATAATATTAAATAGTAATGGTCATAATTTAATATACATGATGTCATTTCCAATGAAAGCAAGGAAAAAGTAATTGATAGTAAATCATATTTAAGGTAAATTCTTTAGCTTAAAAGAAATGGTTAATGAATTTACAAATGTGAGCAGGGCAGAGAAAAAAGAAATCTAATGATAAAGCAACTTTTAAAATCTATGCTATATACCTCGAAGACCTCAGCTTTTCCTATGAATCGGCAAATCACTTTGTGGAAATGTCTAAACTTCTATCTGCCATCCTGAGTAAGGTGTCTCTACCGCCACATCTCTACATTCCCTACCCAGAGTTTGCCCATTCTGCCATGGCTTCAACTGCAAAGCACACAAAATGCATTTTCCAAATGAGCTTTACTTCAGGTCTAAGGATTTTCAGGAAAGGAGCTATTTTCAAGCTGAAACTAATGGAGCTCAAGAATGCATGCACTCGCTTTTGACTAATGTCTACTCCTCCTTTTATTTTCTTCTGTGAAGCCCTAGAAATATTTTCCACTATCATAAGTTCAAAATCCATTTACTTTTGCCCATTTCCAATACTGGAGCTCCAGTCTGAGCTTCTGTTACCTTGTTGTTCCAACAGCACCATCGCTGGCAGCCAGACCCCTGTGTCTTTATCTTTCTAATTTATTCTGCACATGCTGAGAGATAAAACACTGCGTTTATCAGGTTCTTGCTCCTGCCACTTACCGGACAAAGACTAAAATACTGACCCTGACATTTATAGCTCTTCTCTGCAGAAATTACCCAGAGGCTCCATCCAGCGCACAGCTTTGGAGCCTCAATGTCTCCAGTTCTCTGAAAATATTTACTGCTTTTCTTACCTCCAATGCCTAGCTTAGAGAATAGGTCCCATTTTGCATTTTGCTTTTCTTTTTATTTGTTCTAATAACATGGTGCTAGACAAGTTCCAGGTCATCTTTCAGGTCTTTCTTAAATTCTTTAGTTTCAAGTGATTGGTTTTGCAATTGATCAGTTTTAACCTTTAAGTTCTACATGTTGGGAGGTTAATGGTGACCTCATTTCTCCAAGGAATACAGGCTCACTCGGGAACATCTTCATCCTTTCATGACATGCAGGGTTTCTACACGGGCAATCAAAACTTGAGTAAGTAGTTGGAATTAGAAAGTCTGATGTAGCTAGGACAGAGGTATGTAATCCAGAGTCTTTCCCTGACAATTGATGCTTACTACTCAATTATTTTAATCATTAAAAAACAGAAAAAAATTCTTTAGTCTCTGGCCATACAGAGACAAAGACCAACACAGGTGGATTTTTGGCAGGTTAATCATGTAGAATTGTGAAAACAGCTATAAATAGAAGCACATGAAACTTTTGCCTTTTTGCTACTAGTGATATACATCTCTCTCTGCTTCATTGTCTCTAGAAATACAGGCTCTAACATAAAGAAATTTCTATCTGCTGAAACAGCAGCAGCAGCAAGAACAATAACAACAACGAGGACAACAACTATGACGTCCATGTATGGGAATCAAAGGGGCTCTTCTGAATGCATTTATGCAGAAAGCACTTGTTATAACGCACCTTTCTCCTCCTGCTAGCCTGAGAGTGTGTGACTGCTTGAGATAGTCCAATAAGAGTACAAAGATCAGAAACAATCACTAGTAAAAGGAACAACCAGTAAGGCAGGAGAAAACAACGCCAAGGAAGGGAAAGATCCTGTTCCGAAGAGGGAGTGGTAAGAATACTGGGTCCTACCAAGTGGTCGCTCAGCCGGATGGATGAATTAAGGTTTCCAGGCTTGGAAATGAAAAGGCCAACAATAATCACAGAAAGAACAGTTTCTGCAAAGACAGTCTGTCAAATAAAACAATGTTAATATGTTAATAATGTATATGTTAATTTTTTTTTATGTTTACTGTGACCGATAGTACACTTTCACTGCAATAACGAATTAATACGGAAGGGGAAATAATTGTTGTTGAATGAAGACAATGTGGACCAGTGCTGCGAGAGTTTTCTGTCCTAGCTTCCAAGGCAGGAAACAAATCAGCCAAGGGGAAGCTGTTCGGAACAGAGTTTGGAGCTGAAGCCATTTTGCACTTGTGCTGGTTCCACTGTACTTTTATTTCATCCAGTGGTATTATTTAAAAATCTTTAATATCTTTTTACCTATTTTAATGTTACCCTTTGATTTCTACATATTATTTGTACATAGATCATACAACAAAAATTGGAATAATCTGAGAAGATAACTTAGGCCAAATCTTTTTTTGTTCTTCTCATTTTCAATCTTTATAAACTAAGACCCTAAAATGCAAAGGACTGAACAAAACAAATTGGGCTAGAAAGCAAACTGAAGCTAACGCTTGTTCACTGATTCTCAAACTCATGACTCGTTCATTACAAACTCTATGCATAATTGGAGTTGGGCACATATGTACGCCTGGTTTTTGGTTTTAGATAGATAGATATAGATATAGATATAGATATAGATATAGATATATAGATAGATAGATATTTGGTATAGGGTCTCACTACATAGCTCAGACTCACAGTGATCCTCCTGCTTTCAGCCTCCCCAGTGTTGGGATTACAGGCATGCACCACCACACCCAGACTGGGTCACCATGCCTGGGAGTTGGTGCAGCATGTGGTGCTTGGATTGAACCGCAGCCCCTGAGCTTGCCTAAGCAGGTGCTTAGTCCACTGAGCTATCTCACTGGCCCACAAATGTACTTCTGTTTTAAGGAAGAAGTAGCAGTGCTTGATAAGAAAAGATCATGTATCCTTCAGTTTCTCAAAGAATTTTTTGAAGTGGAGAGAATGGTTTCCATTGTATATATTTTAGTGTCTAGACAGAGTTACTTTTTTTACCTAAAGTTGATGGTGAAAGATACACAGTGAAAATCTTGCAAGAGAAATAAAATATGAACAATCACTAAGTAATTGATGTTATTTATCAGCTTTTATATTCCCAATACAGATTTCTAAAATGAAATTATAAAACTAGAAGGCTTTTTTAATCCAAAAAATATTTTTCTCTAAAAGTTATCCTTTAAGCTGTTCCAGATCAAATCAGTTAAGAACTGGATTCTGTCTGATTTATTTAGACTTTGGTATCCCTATGAAATATACAACAAATAACAAATTAGGGAAGAAAATAAGTCCTCAAAAGCTAAAGAAAGGTAGATACACATTCAGTTACACAATCAACTACATTTTATGTGTTTATCAGGAACTACATGATCATGCTATAAAAATCAGCATGAGTAAAATAAAATCACAAATTTCAAAGGCAGAATTTGCCACACTTACTATACAAGCGGTATAATCCAAACCTTGACTTAACTATTTCCTATAAATTCAGTATATAATTGTGGCAAGGGCAGAACACTTTAATCACATATTTTTAAGAAATCCATAATTCATAGTCCTACAAACAAAATATGGTTCACATTTTATAGTTTTTGAGTAAATAAATTTGCCAATTAAAAAATAGTGATGAATAATATTCAGGCCAGTGGACAGCCATGGTAATGTGAGTGATGACGTTGCTGAGGAACTGTGGGAGAGTTTTATCCAATTATAATATATTGCATGCATGCATATACGTGAGGCCTAGGGACACGAATTTATGGATTTTATTGACTGTTAAGGTAGCAAGCGAATGCTAAAAAATACGTTGGTCTAAATCCAGTAACAACGGCAAAAGGAACTTTCAGTGTCCCATCCACTGACTGGAGACAGCTAAAATGCTGGTCTGATTTTTGGTTTGAAACATAACTTAGAAAAACTTCACTAGGGTTAAGGCTAACGAACAAAATTTACAAAGATAGTTTCTGCATCCTGGGGTATTGCTCTGGTGTTGGGGCCACTACAGATTTCCATCCAGTGTTCTCTGTTTACTGAGCATGTTCTCAAAGGGACTAATATCAAGAAGAGGGAGAAATGAGAAGCAGATTATCCGTGGAGTGTGGCTTCTCACCTCTGGCCTGGCGCCCAGGCCCACAGCCCTCCTGTGCTCCAGGGACGTCCTGCTGCACACTCCAAGGGACTAGCTGGCACCTTCGCCACTTGTGCGTCTTCCACCTATGATGCAGGAGAGAAAAGAAAAATGCGAGGCACACCTCAGAGACACAGCCGTATCAAAAACTGACTTTGGCCCCTATAACAGGAAACCATTTAACGGTGCTTAGTCCTACTTGCATGCAATTTGGATATTCACTAGGGCATTCTGAAAAAGCAGAATTAAACATAAAAGTCCTTTGTAGGAGCTTTGAAGTTGAGTACATTATTGCCACGTTCTATAGGAACAGATTCTGCAGAGAGCTGCGGAGGACACTTAGACTTTCTCATACTACAGACTGCCAACAGATGCAGCAGACAGCCCTGGAAGTGCGGCACAGCGTGTAAGGAAGCTGCGTTTATTTATATTCAAGTTCTAAAGCTGTGTTGTAGTCATGAGCCTTTTGTGGAGTGCTTTTTTGATTAGCACTGTAGGAGTAACTCAGCAATTGGAATTATAACATACGTTTACAAAAGCAAGTTCCTAAAATAAGTAAGTTTGGGCTAATCATTGACAATGTTTATGGCTTAGATGTATAATTATAGCTTTTGTTATCTTCGAAAGAAAGACTTCTATTAAGATGACAACTTTGCTCTCCGTTTCTCCTTAAATTATTATTTTGTAATTATATGTTCCATTAATTGATGCCATAGTCATTTGATTTGTTGTCAGGGCTGCAATTACTGAATATAGTACAAAAGTTTCAATTAGAAACTTACTGGTGAAGAGGCCAGATTTCCCTAATAAATTATCAAGATGATACACAGCTTCAATAGCTGCAGTGTGTGTGTGTGTGTGTGTGTGTGTGTGGTGATCACGAATAACCAAGAACAGACACTAACACCATTTCCTGAGCCAGATGACAGTATTTATGAGAAGTAGGTGCTTTTTAGAGCTGTATAAGAATGCCCAGGCTATTCTCCTAAGTTCAGAAAATGAACTGGTTCTTGTTTCCTTTTATTGTGCCCAGCTCAGCCCGCCCTGGGCGTGAGGCTGGCATGGCTTGTGGTGCCGTGGACCAGGCCACGTTCCTTGCATTTGCCAAAGCTTTCCTAAGCAGGTGCTTTAGACTGCTGAGCTATCTTTCTGGCACCATGAACTGGTTTTTAAAGGATAAGTGTTTCATAATTATTAACCATTTTCCTGCATCGTATAACTTATGACAACATAAAGCATTTCCCCAAATTACTGGTGCTGGTAAGGCAGCGAGGAACTCCACAGCAGTATCTGTGTCTCTGGAGAGGGCTTTCAAGCTCTTCCACGTACAGGCAAGAGAAGGCAGCTACAGCCCTAAAGCCGCCACTGCAGGGAGCCTGTGCACGCAGCAGCGCGGGCTTCGGCTGCGCACAGTTTGGCAGCACGTGTCCTGGGCTTTGCGAGGGCCTCACTCGCACGCATCGCTCATTCGCTGTTACCTGTAGCTCTGGCGCACTGGAGAAGCCTCACAAGCCTTCTCTTCATAGAGCGGTTCTGTGCAATCCCGGCCTCCGTTGGCTGGCACCTGGATGACGACTCGATGTCGAGACTGCTTCCTGACTCTGGAGTCCCCTGGAACGAGGCGGCTCTTTAACGTCAGTGCTTTGCACTAAGAAGGATCTACAAATACTAGGGATTTGAAAGAGTCACACTGCCTGCAGCGACACAGGCTTCGACCTTACCCCGTCGGTCTTGGATCTCCTGGTCTTCTAGTTACTAAATTCTCCCAAAGACCGATTATACCGAAAAAGCAAATCAGTTTATATATTAAAATGTGGAGAATGTTAGAAAATAATTCCATAGCCCACTCATCATCTTAAGATGCAGTTACAAAGTAATTGTTCTTTTGCATACCTCTTTCCCCTTGAGAAATACGACAGGTCTGATTAAATTATATTCCTCTACCTAAGTTTATTTTCATGCCATTTCGCATTGCCCTGTTTACCACATGGGACTCATTCACGTGCAATGAATCTTCCTTAGGAGGATATTCAACGTTATAATGTGAACTTTTATTTCTTGTTATTCACTTAATTTGAAATGCATAACTTGTAAATTATTCCCGTCACTTATTATTCATGTTAAACAACCTAAGACCTTCAATTCAGGTCACATTGTACGCATCAGAGGTGTAAGCAGGGAAATGAAAATGGTTTCCTGGAGGCAGATTTATTTTTAGAGAACCAGTTTAAAGTAGCAATAATTACTGTGAGTAAATAATTCCCAATTATCTTTAAAAGTAGAAAAAAATTACTTTCAAATAGACATCTCTTAGACCACACTATTGATATAGAGATGTTCAGCATGTCTTAGGATAGACAGAGGTATAAATTAGCCAACTTTAATAAAATAAATGTATTTCAACTTCTAAAGGTTTAAATAGCCACCCAGTGTAGTTTCACTTACAAAAGAATTGTTTGAAGATGTATGATAGCAGAAAATGTAACACCTGATCATAGTCTGCAAAACCGTTTACTGTTTGTTACATAGAAACAAGGAAATTTTAAAGAGCTAGCAGCCCAAAACAATGAAACTTAATCAGAAATAAAATGAAATAGGTTTAAAGTTACTGTGATTGTGGAAAAGTGTAATTTGACAATTAAAACTTTTCCATAAAGGAATGTCCTTTCTCCTGATGCCCTGGGCAACTGACTTGACCCATGGTTAGAGAAATTTTTTGTAGACAGGAAGTGGATCAGATGAAGAATTTCTAAATGTTGAACTATAAAGGAGAATCTCTTTAAAAACAACAGACTTCTAGGGCTATGCCCAGAACTATAAATCAGAAACTTGGAGAGCTGGATTTGAGTAGCTCATTTTTTAAAACCCTATCAAGTATTGTGCTGAAGAGCTAATTTAAGATTCTGAGTTCGCATGGAATTTTCCTGGTTTATTCTCTTTGAAGGGTGAGGGAAGCTTATACTATTAGTGATTATGTAAACTATTTCAATGAATAATTAGAACACTATAGGTAATGGAGTAGGGAATTGGGGGCTGAATGTAAGGACAACAGAGAATTAAATTTCTTGGAAATGAAGGTTTGTGGTTATAACTGTTATGGTTTGTGTCTAGTTGTCCCCCCAAAGCCTCATGCAGTCACTGGGGCAGCTTCTAGAGTTCGTGATTAATTCATGATCCAGCGCTGGGATTCTGGGTGTGAGTGCTGTACCTGCCTTGGGGCGGGCAACCTGCATACTATATAAGGTGGGGAGAGAGGCTAGCTAGCTGCCTCAGATGCTGCCGCTCCCTTTGCTCTTTGCTGTCTTCTGCTGCCATGAACCTCTGCCCTCTGTCATGTGCCACTCTGTCTTGGAGACAGTCAAGTATGGACTGAAGCTTCCACTACCAGTAAGCTAAATAAACCATTTCTTTTTTACTTCTAGATGTCGTTTTTTTGTTTTATTTTTATTTTTATTTTTGTTTTTTTTATTTTAGGGAAGAGTCTACAGGGTGTTCAGGGTCCCATTACTAAATTGGACTCGTAGTGATCCGCCTGTTTACAGCCTCCCAAGAGCTGGGATTACAGGCATGTGCCACTGCGCCCAGTCTCAGTTGCCATCTCAGTGTGCTGCAGGGATGGGGCTGGCAGGTCAGGCCCAAGGATTGAACTCCTGGCCCCTGTGCCTGCTTGCAGGCACTTTAATCTGCTGAGCTATTTGGCTGGCCATTGGATGTTGGGTATTTTGTCCTAGCAACAAGGAAAAAGTAACCGAGACATGGACAGTACGCTATCACACTATTAGTTTAATACCCGCTCCAGCTTTTACATGTTTAATATGACTTATCCAGGGCAGATCTAAGATAGTGATTGGAATTTTAATAAATTGCTAACACAGTCTCTATCTATTACATTATCTAAATCACTCTCCTGCTTTAAGGCCCTGATGACAAATTTCTGTAATGATTCAGGGACAGGAAAAATTTTGTTTCCCTTGCTGCTCTGCTAAGAGTCCATTATAGTTCCATTTGTTGCTTTGGCCACCAGAATCTCAGAGCTAATTTTCTTCTCAAGATCAGGAACTTTGATTTTGTACCACAAACTTTCTTTTCCTGTCTTGTTCAACATCCTTCATTCCATAGCTGCCTGGTCCCTTCTTTTACAGTTTCTACTTGTTTGTCTTCTGTTTAATGGTCTGTCATTTTCTTAAAGACTACATCAGCTAAGTGGCCATTCTCCCCATTTGCTTAACACTGGGGAAAGGAGGAGGATTTTTGTTTGTTTCTCTACAGGGAAAAGAGCACAATTACACAGGCCTTTGCTTCTCAACTGGTCAAGCTTCTTAGACACAAATCAGTCATGGAATTGATATCGGGGGATCAGGGATGATGGGGGACAGTGGGTTGAGATCAGTGGTGCCTTAGGAACTGAGGCGTCTGGTCATTAACTACTCATGTGAATGTCACTCGGTGCATAGCCAGGAAAGGTCCATTTGGGAAGGAGCAACCCAATGTTAGCATTACAATTCTACTCGCTTTACTGTTCTTTGCAAGCAAAATGTCACTAACATTCTCTGTAACAGAGAATGTACAGCTCTGAAACATTCTGTTAGTGCTTTTTCATCACAATCTTCACGAGTTTATGATCGAGATGTAGGACTACGAGTACTCTTTGTCTGGATTCCACAATGGCCATCTACCTAATCTTCTAAAAAGTTCGGGTTCTTTAACCTTGCATTGTGCACAGGGTAGGGAGTGCGACCCGATTAAGGTGGAAAACTTCAAAGCCACAGCACCCAGAGGGAACGCTGGAGGTCGTTACGCAGGTAGTGTCAGGACAACCACGTCTCCACGCACCGGGACGTCTGTCTCTTCTCGATCACAGTTATACTACTCGTGTGTTCAGAGCAGCAGTACAGTAGGTCAGGTTAGAGAGCCTTCAGATCAGAGGCGGGGAGAGGGAGATCTGCAGCACGCAGTTAAAAGAAAGATGGACCTGCTTCTTCCCACAATTTTTTGTTTGTATTTGCATACGACTTACTGCATGTGGCTAACGCACAGAGTTTCCATTTAATTTTATTTTTTAGCACTTCATGGGGTAGTCATAGATACCTGTGCTTAATAAGTATTTGCTGAGAGAGCAGACACATTTATTTGACGTATCCTCCTTTGGATTTTTAGTATCTGTTTTTCCTGTGCATGCCCCTAAAGTAATAAGCATCTGGGTCCTGTATCTGTGCACTGAGGAAAGAGAAAACTGTCCTTGTCTTCCTCTTGGGAATGTTGGGGATGTGAAAAATAAAGGCACCTGCTGTTGCATTTATACTTGAAAATACCAGTCAAGAATTGGAATTGCCAAAAGGGAATATACACAGAAAATAATTGTGTGACATGGGCATACACATTCAGAGGATACGTCATCGCTAACACAGTTGTAGCATTTTTCAGATATCATGAGACATTCAAGGTAAGTTTCACCAGAGAAATTACCTGATGGAAGGATTTTTTTTTTTTTTTTTCAGAACCGGGGATTGAACTCAGGCCCTTGCGCTTGCCAGGTAAGCGCTTATTCTACTGAGCCATCTCCCCGGCCCCTTGATGGAAGGATTTAAAAGGCAAGTGAAACCATTGTCTTAATTTAGAAGTGAGCCAAATGGCAGACTGAAATAGCACAGTAGCAAGATATTGAGAGAGAAATATGTCACACAGAAGAAAAATGTAAAGTTAGTTTTGGAATCATTGAGGGTAACTCATGTGTATGAATGATTAATCAGATGAGCATAGAACAGTGCCCTCACAATATTCTGTCTTTTAATAAATGAAGAAAAATATTAGAAACAAGTAAAATTTGAAAAATCAAATATCTTATTTGTTCAAAAGTATTATTTTTCAGGATTAGAGCTATAAATGACTTCTATCTACAGATCATTTCTATTTGTGTGCTTTTGTTAAAATTTGTGAAAAAATTAAAAAGTAAACAAACATACTTGCTTAAAGATCAAGTGACATTCGACTCAACACGGATCTTTGTCAACACTGATTTTTCAAGGTATGTCTTGGAAGATGGCTGACTGAAATTTCAAATAACACTTTTTCCATTATAGTCTATTTTGCTTCACTTTATGCAGTACTAAAGTGTAATCTTACCTCTGCAAAGTGATTTTACAAAAAGAGGATAGCTCCATATTTTAATAAACCTGAAGCTCTTATAAAATTTAGACTTAACTTTCCAGAGAAGAACCACCTTTTCTTGAAAATAATCTTTAGTTATCAATTATTTTTCTTTGAACAATACTTTGTTTAGCACTTTTAAAAATAGTGTGTAAAAGTCAATGTAATTTCAGTGACAATTGAGTTACTCTAATTTCTTACCAAAAAGTAACCACAGGCCATTGCTTCACTCTCCTCAGCATAGCAAAACCTCGCTTTTTAATGACCTATTGTCTCTTCCTGGTCAATTCCAGCCCTCTACCACAAAACCGAGAACACTTCTTCAGGAGCCCATTTGCTGCGCTCTTGCCCTTGTTATCCAGTGATGGCCTCTTATATCACTCCTGCCCCTGTCTTGTTCATTTTCTCAATGCCCAGTGTTATGGTTTGTGTTTAGCTGTCCCCCAAAGCTTCACGCAGTCACTGGGGCAGCTTCTGGAGTTTATGATTAATTCTTGATCCAACACTGGGATTACAGGTGTGTGTGCCACACCTGCCTTGGGGCTGATAGCTTGAATACAACATAAGGAAAGGAGAGAGGCTTGCTCACTGCCACAGCCACTGCCCCTCTTTTTTTTTTTTTTTTTTTTTGCAGAACAGGGGATTGAACTCAGGCCCTTGCATTTGCCAGGGAAGCAGGGAAGCACTTATTCTACTGAGCCACCTCCCTGGCCCTTCTAGGGACTTTTGTAGTGCAAAACCATGAGGTAAGGCCAGTCTAAGGTGAAAAACAGGGGAAATCGTACATGAGGTGGGGCAAAACTCTGGTCAACCAATGAGGTTACAAGTTTTACAATTTTGCCAGTTGCTCAGGTAAAATTGATTAAATCCAGGACCAAATCAGAAAATGAATCATGTAGCAAGTGGGCATGAATATAGAACAGGGGCTTATCCTGTTGGGGCTGGGTTAGTGACTCTTCCTGGCTTCCTCAAGGTGATTATCAATCCCGGATGCTTATCTTTAGGGAGGTAAGCTTTTGTCTGATATTTAGTCTGGCCCACAGCGGGAGCGTCCATCTCTCTCACAGTTGCAAGTATCTTGCCTTCTGTGCTGTTTTCTACAAGGGCCCAGCCCTGTCTGATTGCCAATAATATTTTTATCTAATTCAGCTGCCTATAACACTTTGACTTGCCATTGGATCACTATTACCTAAGCGACTATACTTGTAATCTTATTGATTGATTGTAGTTTTGTCCCCCCTCAAACCCATCTCACCTTGTGGCATTGTTCAATAAACCCCCTTGAGAAGCAGGGCCCCCTTCTGTCCCTGAAATTTTCTTTCTCTCAATAAATCCTACTCTTCACCTCCAGTTTCAGAGAACATGAACTTGTTTTATCTAAAACTGGCCCTACTTTCCTGTATTGATGTGTACAGAGCTGGTTAGGGTATTTCCTTATCTCTTCAATTTAAGCAGTGCAAATCAGTCTAGCCCAGGGGCTGCTGTGTAGTCTTTGTAGCCAGGCCTCAAGGCAGTGTTTCCCTCCCTAGCTTCCCCCAAAACATGTGTGGGCCAAGGTAGGATGGAAACCCAATGTTCCACATGGTAGGCTGGGATAGATCACAGAGGTGATTTCAGGCTTCCTACGTAGCCCAGCCCACAGCGCTCACCTACTTTCCGCCATTCTTACAGTCACTCTTC